CGGAAATCCGTCGGTTACACGTGTCATCGGAAATCCGTCGGTAACACGGGTCGTCGGAAATCCGTCGGTGACACGTGTCGTCGGAAATCCGTCGGAGGTTNTGGCCNTCGGAAATCCGTCGGCAAATGATTCCGACGGATTTCCGACGGTTTTGGCCGTCGGAAACGGCCCTGTTTTCTTGTAGTGATTAAATCATATTAAAAAACATTAAATCATATTAAAAATATTTAGATATTAGCGGGTTTGTCGTTTTGCATTATTATTTGTAACGAAATTAAACTAAACTTCTGTGTACTACATAAAATTGTTGTATGGATTTTTAAGATGTTGAAAGAGATGATGACATGCAGATCCATGCCCCTTTTTTTTAATTGACTATGATTTAGTTAAATCCATTAGTTGTTGATAAGACTAATTATTGTGTGCTTTTTATTGCCTTCTTATGCTTAAAATGCCTTACTTTAATTATGTATGATTGTGATCTTGTAATGAAAGCTGGTTAGAAGTTAGAACTTCTTAGAATTTACCTAACTTGAATTTCTTTTCATGCTATGAGTCACTTCTGAATTACTTGCACATTGTGCCTCAAGCTAATTCTTTTCAAGCTTGAAGAACACACTTTTACAAAGCAACTCGTCCCCACGAGTATTTCACAAAATATTCTAAATTCATAATTAATTTAGCGGTGTGGGTGTTGAACCTATACGAGCTTAATGTAACCAGCATAGATGCAAAGATATCTCAACCTCATGCGATCCACCCGAGACCATGATTTACGTGAACTACAAGTTGCAACTAAGATATCAGTACTTGGACCCATATCCAAATCCACTCCAAGAAGCTCCCTAAATTCTTTTATCTCATCAGTTCCTCAACTTTCGATGTTTCCAGATTCGCAACATACTCACAATTCTGACCGGTTAGATGTTCAAATTCATGAAGCGAAAACCTAACCGGATTCGTACCGATGAGACTCCATATAGCGGTGATACAAAGCTGTTTGACGCTCTAGTAAAAGATGATATACTAAATCCAGATGAATTGGATGAGCTTTGGCACTCGAGGCTGGGTGTGTTTCTTAAGTTCCACTCTTTAAAATTTGGTTGGGAATCGAGGCTGGTACATCATATGCTTAGTCTTCAGCTCGAAACCAAGAAGCCGCATGAGATATGGAGTCTCATTCATACGAATCCGGTTAGGTTTTTGTTTCATGAGTTTGAACATCTAACCGGTCTGAATTGTGAATATGTTGCGAATCTGGAAACACTGAAAGTTGAGGAACTAATGAGATGAAAGAATTTAGGGAGCTTCTTGGAGTGGATTTGGAGATGGGTCCAAGAACTGATAACTTATTTGCAGCTTGTAGTTCACGTAAATCATGAGGTGGATCGCATGAGGTTGAAATATCTTTGCATCTATGATGGTTATATTAAGCTCGGAGAGGTTCAACACCTACACCAGTTAAGATGGCTAGATTAATTATGAATTTAGAAGATTTTGTGAAATACTCATGGGGATGATTGGCTTTCAAGAACCAATTTGTAATTCAAACTATTATGGAATTAAACACTACAATAAAAGACATCAACAAAAGACGAAAATGGAAGTCTGCAATAGAAGTCTAAGAGAGTAGTTTGCACCTAAAGTCTGCTACCGAAGTCAACACCTGAAGTCTGATAGTGAAGTCTACCTGAGAAGTCTACTAAAGATTTTTGTGAACGAATCCTGTAAAAAAAATACATCTCCAGACTAAGAGAATCGACTAAAAAAATCTAAAAAAACATAGTTAAACTAACAAGATTTCTGATAATTCAATGAGATAAAAGATAATACAAAGGAAATAAACCTTTGATCTCGATGAAGTTGAAATCGAAGGAATGGCAAGCGGCACAAGATCTGGAAGATATAGTAAGATATATACAGTTAGATTTCTGATTCAA